AATCTTTTTGATTTTAAGATTTATTTGCAGATTGACCTTTCAGAGCTTTTTCTAAACAATCACATACTATGTGGTCTTCTTTCTAACATGTGAAGCACCATAAAAGCTCTATACTTTAATTATTTTTTAGTTGAGGTATATTTTTATTGGCAAAATTTGTTATAGTTTTTGTTAATTGCTTTATGATGTCTTTTATCTTCTGAATATCATTATCAGTTTTCTTTTCAACTCTAGATATCTTCAGACTTTTTATTGCTACTATCAGACTATCAATATTGGCTCTATTATTCTTCACTTTAGAATTTTTACTAGTATTTTAGCTACTCATATCATATTATATTTATTATCTTTGCCATATACTTCAATTTTTAAAACCAGATTTTTCACCTCATCAAAATCAGTTGAAAAGTTTATCTTAATCTTTACTTTATATTCACACCTCAATCTGGCTATATACTACTACTACTTTTTATGTAATCATATATTATTTTTCAAAATTTTGCATATGTTTCAAATCGATTAGTATAGCCTATTATTAACTTATCCTTTTTTTTGATCCTTATTAGTCTAGCAATCTTTTCCTCTGTATGATGCTTAGTCTTAGTTATCTTTATTATTGTAGTCTTTAGATCAGTTCATATAGTAGAAACTTTCATTAATTTATTTATCCAAACTCTAATTTTTTCTAATATATAGAATTTTATAACTTTTTTTTTCGATTGACATCCTACTGCTTAGATTCTGTGTATATTTCGAAATCAAAAAAAAATCTTCTAGATCTTCATCTTTATTATTATGATAAAATAGTTTCATAAAATTCTATATAGTTATAGTCAATCATTATTGAAAATATTTGTTTATTTCCTTATTTATTTGTTATTAATTTGCTTGTTTATACAACTTTATTTAATACAATATTTAATTTGTCTTTAATCCTTGAACTTGCACTAAATATTTGATTCCTTTATCCATTCTTACAAGAGTAACTTGGCTAGTTGCTCAGATCCTTCTCTATCATGGATTATATAATATCCTGTTTTCTATTATCTAACTTAAAGTTAAACTTTCTTTTATTTTAGAGATATCACACTAATACTTTCATAGTTAAACACTTTGTTTCTCTACAATACAGTTTCTTCTTATAATAATTACTAACTACTTTTCTTTATTTATTATTTCTATTTATATTTATTCTAATCTAATTATATTATTTATATATCTTTATATTTTAATAAACTTTTACTATTCTCTAATTACATTATATTACCATATTGTTTTATTGATCAATGATCACATACTATGTGATTCTAATAATGCTTTCCAATACTATCAACTTCTTTGTAATACTGCTCATTTATACAATCATATGACCCTGTTGAAGTGCTATCCTCTTAAGTGTACAAGCCATGATCAATTAACATTTCTCTTATCAGTACAAGAGCTGTCTAAAAACTATGTGACAATAAATCTTTGTATAAAAAACATAGGCAGTATTAATATTTTTGTAGCCAACTTGTAAGATACTTACTTGAAAAGATGGTTCAATAACTATTGGAATGATGAGTAAAGCAATAAACACAAAGACAGGCTATGAAAAAGAATTGGTCTTACCAAAATTAAAAACACCTTTGATACCTATACTACTGCTGATTGAAAAAGAAACTACCCAGTATAGGGTTGGCAGACAACTTGAGGTACACTTAAATAGACAAGTAATGGCAAGATCAACAATAATAAAATAAACTTTTTTTTTCTAAATATCAATTTTGAATTTTAAAATTAACTATATATGATAGTTAATTTATTTGTTATATCTTTGGCTAGTGATTTTTGTTAAAAAGATCGCAAAAAAAAGTTAGAACACATCGTGCCACAATTTTGTGCCCTGCCCCTAATTTGGTACATTTCTTAACTAAAATACTAAAAATAAAGTTTTGCATAATTATAATGAAAGTAGCAAAAAACTATGGTGAAAATAACAATACCCTAAATATATATGTTGTAAGTGGGAATGAAATTTAAGTGGATTTGGAATTCCTAGTAAATTAGGGTTAGGGTTAGGGTGTTTACATATGATAAAATCAACCCCAAAAAACGGGTTTTATATACAAATTCTGAATCCAGTTTCTACTTGCAACATATCTAGGTTTCTGTATAAAACTCCCTAGATTATGTTTTTAAATAAAGGCAACAATGCAATAAAGATATAAGATTTTTTTATATGCAAAATGTTTATTCATTATTGTCCTATGTTCAATATTTTACATCATTTTTTTATTTCCATTTTGGTAAGCGCACTTAAAAAACTGTCCAAATCATTCAATTCATTATTTGATCCAGATAGTGCGTCCGACTCTAATCTAATTTCATCGTTCGGTTTACTTTTATTAAATCGATCATTCATACCCGACCGAAAATCGAAATCAAAGTCCTGGGATGCTATGGTTTTTTGAAACGAACCGTTAGCATTCCCTGTTTCTCGATTCGATTCCGTTCTATTAACACCATTATTTTCAAACAAAATACGAATATCTTTGGGTATCGTATATCCAAAGCTTTTCATTTCTTCCAAAGCCAACTTTGCCCTTGAATCATTATGATTGACACATGTTTTAATAATTTTTTCATAAATAGTAGATGATGGTAAAATATTTTGCGCCTTCATCTCTTCCAGGTAAACAAATGCATCCTCGTAATCATAATCTGTACTACAACATAAGTATATCATACGACGATACGACTCACTATCAGGTTGTATGCCTGCACGTTGCATTTCAGTCCAGAACTGTTGTCCTAGTTCACGATGTTGTGCCGAAAAACATACTCCCAATAGCGAATTAAATGTATGAACATCTGGTTTAACTCCTAATTTTTCTGCTGACTTGTATGTCTCTACGGCACGATGTATATCCGGCTTGGTCCGATTCCCAAATTTATTCACAGGTCCGTTAACAAAGCGACATGCATTAATTATGGTATTCAAAGCCAACACGTCAACCTTTTTACCATCTTTAACAAGTTCTTCTAGACTGTAATATGCTTTGTCAATGGATTCAACGTTTTTAGAGATGGCAGCTACAATCGGAAGTGCAGTCTTACTATTTGGCTTAACTCCAGCCGCAGCCATTACCGACAGCATGTCCATAGCTTGTTTAATGTCATTGTCATTAACGAAGGCTTCCAATAATGGTTCCAAATGCCATTTATCGAGAGGCACCTTGCGGTTTTCAGTCAAATATACGAGTACCTGTGCCGCAAGGTGGGGTTTTCCAAACCTTGCAGCTACATGGAGAACGTCTATACAAGCACCTTCATCAAGATCTAAATAACGTTCTTCGATGATTTTTTCCCAACAATATATTAGACCATCAAGCTATAATATGGTTATGCAAAATGGTAAGCACCATATTAAAACAGAAAGTTAAATAAATAAAATTCACCCACGTAATATTGATCCGCGGAACATCTTAAAACATCATAATACATTGATGAATATGTCGGCAAATTTTCAGCTTCCATCTTCTTTAGTAAAGCAAATGCTTCTTCAGGCCATTCAAAATAACATATTTTTTTCATCAAGTTCTCGTACATTGTGACTGTTGGTTGAATTCCCTTACGTTTCAAAATGTCTATGAAATCAATGCCTCGCTCAATTTCTCCATTAGCCAACAAAGCCGTAAGATAGTTATCGTAAGTTACAATGGTTGGCTGAAGCCAATCTTTCTCGATCATGTCAAAAATAAATTCTCGCAAATGAGCAGGCTGGTTTCCCGGGGACATTATAATTGTCTGCATAAGTGATGAAAAAAAATTTTTAGAACAAAGTTACGAAGTTTTTCTGTGATAGTCAATAAAGTTACCTTCAACAAAGCATTGTATGTATCTATGTTTGGTTTTATTCCTGCTAACAACATGTCGTCTAATAATTTGAAAGATTCTAATACATCCCCATCATTCTGATATGCTGACAGCAATATGTTATACGTATTTACATCCGGCTTGATATTTCTTAATTTCATTTGATCACATACATCTCTCATTGCAATAGCCCAATTAATTTTCTTATAACGCTCTAACCTACGGTTGAAAGATTCTAAAGTGTTGTCAATTTCAAACAAAGGTTCTATTGGTCTAACCGGAATGTCATGAGCGTTGTGTGTACTATAGCTCTTAGGCGAAACCCTTTTTACATGGTGACGAAAGACGAAACCTAAAGCCGGCGAAAGACGAAAAAGGAAACCCCGGCGAAACATCAAATCCCCTAAAAAAAATAAAACCTTCGAAAATGACGAAAAGTAAAGCCTGGAGAATTCCTGGTGAAACTTAAAATATCGATAAAAATTTTTAGCTGATTATCTATTATCTGCTGTTAGTCACATGAATATCTGATCTGCCAGTAATACAATAGGATAAAACTATCAGAGTAACAAGATAAAATGTTAAAATGTCTGCGCCTAGTCTCATGAGAAATAAAATACTCGTATTAGGTCGTCGTGGTGTGGGGAAATTATCGATTATCAAACGTATATAATACTTTTCTACATAATATTCCTTTGTTTAAACACGATTTAATCATTGCTGACAGAGAAAAAAATAATAATTTTTTACATAAGAAATTTTGTCAATTACAAACCAATCGTTTATAGACGATGTTTCCAAGGACTTTGAGGATCATGCAGGAAAACGAGTTCCGTGGAAAATAGTGACCAAATATTATACAGCACAAGTAGAATTTTGGATTGATGAAACGGTTCAAAAAGAGTTAGTAGACGCTGAAGTGATCAAGGGGTATGAGAATGAAGAGAATGGCATCGGTAATGTTGTTGATGCGATTTTATTTGTATTTAGAAAAGATCAGGTATTCATTCAAATCAATCAATGAATTATTTTTTCCACTATGGTATTTTAAATTTTACCTTTTTTATGGTAATCGATAAACGATAGCCATCAACATTCGATGATATCCACTCGTATCTGCCATTTATACGAACATATGAACCATCGATAATTCTTGCAATTGGTACGGGTAAGATTGATGCGAATGATACTACAAATATATCACATGTGGGTGAGGACACGTTCGAGAATTGGTGTTTAGAAAACGGATTCGAATATGTTGATGCGGAAGAAGAAGAACAAGAAAATGGTGGTACGGTTATGCAACTGTTGAGCAATACTGTGCTTGTATTTAATTATTCATATCAAGTATATTATAAAAGTAAAAGAGCGTGTCGGTCTAAATCGAGTTCTGGAAGCTTTGCAATCAAATATGTGGG